TCATGCAGTGGTCCATATATAGAGTAACATAGAGTTACAATTTTGTGAAATCAGTAAATTGATATATGTTTTCAGCATTGAGTTATATGCCACTATATTTATTACATTATTTACCATCTAGTGATATTACTTAAAAGTTAAAACCAAATATAAACAAATATGGTCTCCCCTCTAATTAACTCTGGTGGAAATATGTTATGTAATACAAGTATATTAATTCGAGCAATCTTGTCCAAAAAAAAAAAAAAATCGACCAATCAAAATAGAACAAAAATCGACCAGTCAAAATAAAAAATGAATATTCTTTTTTTTTTTGGACAAGACATCAAAACAACGCACATTTGTTTGATGCTTATTTTTGCCATGATGCTCATGCTTCAAATACCACCGACGGTCCAATTTGTTATATTCTAATTAAGTGCGATAAATAAAAAAGTTTTTTGTTTGTTTAAAGTCAAATTTTAAAGTATACAAAAAGTCAATTCTTTCATAAACTTCAAAGCACACGTTTCGGCTTCGTCCATCAATCATTTTTACTTCGTAATCTTCGTAATATATTCAAAATCGGATTTTAAAGGAAATAATGTTATTTAAAAAGTAAATGGATCTCGATCATTTTTAAAACGGTGATAAAATGAGACACATAGCTGGAAAATAAGGACTGCTAAACGGCTGAAGTTGACTGTTAGAACGTATATATATATATACATACGGTCATTCGTTTTGGGTTAAATTAAAGGATCCGTAAACATTTCGTTGCTTCTCTTGGTTTGATGTAAATTGTTTTTGTCTAAAAGTAAGTATTTGAAAGTAAATATTTAGATTTCTCGTTTTTCTTAAGTATATAATTTTTAGAATGTCTATAGTAAGTGTTTCTAAAATTAATTTTGAATATTTTTATATGACTGACTTTTAACTTAATTTTATGTATTGAAAGTTAGTTAAAGTAATTAACTAATTTTTCGGATACTTTAGCCATCACTCACATTACAACACCATAACAAACATTTCAGTTTGCAAACTTCATACGGAATGATTCATTTTCTGTCGGTTCAGTTCCAAAATATCTAATTGAAATTTTAAATATTTTGGAATCTTTTAAAATTTAGTTTTTTTTTTCATACTTGTGATATTTCCTGTTTTAATCAGTTATTAAGTCAGTAAGTTGACAAATTAAAGTCTGTATTTAGTTGGCATGTCATGTGAGAACACATATCGAGACAATTATCCAACATAATAGACAAGATTTGTTGATCTTCTAAACAAACGTGAGTTATATATATACGAGTTTTTAAACTCATAGCATATATTAAAAACAGATACCAAATTACCACTCTTCGCCAACTTTGTTAGTTTCAAACTTTCAGTTTAATATTTCCATTCTTTAACAGAAAATAAAATTTATATTAGTCATTGCCTTTTGGATTTCTTTGAATGTGAAACAAGTATGTATGATGACACATGAGTTTGTACCTATATATTATCATGGTAACTTAAAGAGTAATAAAAATTGTATGCAGAAGTACAATAATGAAAAATGAAATATTGATAAATTAATAAAAATAAATAATTGGAGAAAATATAATATCACTACATATGTTGCATGCAGCCAGCAAAGTAACATGCAGTGCCATGCAAGAAAACATAATGTATAAGGACCAAATACCACATGGGTTCTTACAGTTCGACTTTGCTTATTTCACTCACATTTGTCACTATTCTTTTCTTGCTTCGTCATTTACAATAATTCTGAATCTGCAGTTTTGTTTTCCTTTCTTTATTAAACCGATCATTAGATGAAATGGAACACTCAAAAATGAAAAGAATAAATAAAGACAGCCAGACAGGAGTACCCACGGACAAAGGCAACAAGTCGCAACATGGACTTTTAACTCTTTATTTATTTACTTACCAAAAAAAAATAACTCTTTATTTACTAATTGGAGCAGACGAGCAGTTTAGCTTTGGGCATACTAATAAACAACAACAAAGAAAACAAAAGATATATGAAGATATGATAAGATATAAAGAAAATAACAAAGTCGTGGTTACATTTTTTTAGTCACCATGTCCGATTAAAACATATGAAATTTGTCGAAAAAAGTTTAGAAATGTCTTTTTTAATGAACGTACCAAAGTCATAAGTATGTTATAGGCCTTCTAATCCCTACCACAGGAACAAAGTTGTATTTACAAATAGAATAATTCATTTGCAAAAGAAAAAGTCTATTCAAATATTAGTCTTCAGAAAAAGGAAAAAAATGGGTATCTTTGTTACTTTAGCTATGATAAATATGAAAAATATTCAAAGAATCAATCAAGTTTTGTAGAAAACATAATTCAGGAACTAACTGGTGGGATCCAATGTCCATATACATATCATATAGAATTGATATCCTATCTACTTTGGCACTGAAACTCTCCTTGTCTCTCTCAATTTTTTTTTTTTAGGTGTTATTTCAATCTTTATTTGTCGGCATATATATACACACACATACATTTTGTGCATATATGATAAATTACGTATCTGTCGAATTTTTAGAAATCATTTTTTAAAGGGGTTGTTGAAACCTCTTTAATTAAATGTTTAACAATTCTACACTAAGTATATGAAGTTCGATCATCTGATTCTGATCATACAATATTGTATAGGGTCATTTTGAAAAATACTCTGTTTTTGAGTTATACTTTGAAAAATACACCTTTTTCCTATTTTTAATGAAAACTACAATCTTTTATATATAAATTTAAATTTAGAGCTATCTTTTTAATAAATCAAAGCTAAATTCGAAATTTAGAGAAAAAAAATTCAAAATAGTATTAATACGAATTATATATATATTTAACACAAAGATGGTTTATTAATTTTATATATTAAAATTTAACAAGATAATATCTAAAAATATTATAAAATCTTTCACTAAATATTTTTCATGTTATATAAAGTAAATTAATCTCCAACACTCTAAGCACATTTTTCAACTTAACATATCACAAAACTTTGCTTCAATTCAATGATTCTCTTTGATTTTTTTTTTTGTAAAATAAACTATTTTATATGTTTTCAATAATAATGAATCATAAAAATCTGTATCATAACAATAACATATGACTTCACAAAAATCATGACTTAATATCGGTAGAATTTTGTTATTCATTATTGTTTAAAAAATAATTTATGATAGTAAATTTTCGGAATTGTTAGTTATATAAAATTTTTGTAAAAATTAATTTTAATTATTATCAATAAATTGATGTTCTATTTAAAATATAGATATTTTGATTAATTGTTATTAAGTTTAAGTAAATTTTAGTAACTTTACATATTTAAAAATAGTTTTTAAAAGAAATTAAAGAAAATGTATTTTTCAAAAGTGTAAACAAAAAAGGGTATTTTTCCAAATTTACTCTATTGTATATCTTATGGATCACAAACATTTAGGAAATTCTAGTGTTCCATTTTGATTCGGCGTGATATACACAATTACATATATATATATATATATATATTATACACTATAAATTTAAATTAACGGTTCATTAGAACCAAACTTATTCATTTGTCCCAAGTCACAACAGAATTGTTCACAAAAAGTATTCCAATTGCAATAGAAATTAAGGATGGATCCAAATGGGCAAAACATTGTATATATACAGTCATTAATTCATTGTACAGTTACGGATTATAAGAAATACCCAACTTTCGACACAAGTAATACGCTAAAGTCACTAATTGTTTATGTATTTCAGATTTGGTAAAGAGAACATATTTGATCGGCTACTAAGTGTGCAAAGATACTTGCCGTCCATACTGAAATTTTGAAGAAAAAATAACTCTATTCAACCTCGAAGGATGAAATCACCATAAAAGACATAAGCTCAATTATATTTTAATTTATGTGTTTGCACTACACTATTATCTGAAAATTTCGAGAAGTTATCATTGGATGTGGTTAAGTTCTATGCGAACCACCAAGTTGATGTGTACAATTTGGCTCGAGTAGCGAAGGCCGAAGGAGACACCACACCTTAGTCTTCAAGACCAAGTCTTCATCACTCTATTTCTCACCTACTTCCATGTTTCATTACTAATTTTGCTTTTATATTTATATATGTGTAATGGGAAAGTTCCTAGGTCAAGAGTCTTTATTTTAATTTTAATATTAACTTTAAGTTGGATTATCATATATTAATTACTTTTGCCGCTTTTTTGACAAAACTATAGCCATCTTTGACAAAACTATAGCCATCTTTGACATTATACTATAAGTCTACAACCGATTTTTTCATGTTTCTACGACCAAAATAGACATAAGCTAAACATTCGTTATTATATTGTTTCGTATCTAGTTGGTATGTTTTAGCCACGTTAAGGAGAGGGACTATTAACAAATACTATACTAATATTTTAATAAAATAAAAATAAATATGTTTATTAAAGAATTTCTCTATATATATATATATATATATATATTTTAAAATTTCTCTATAGTTAATATAAACATTGTAACTGGACTATAGTTTCGAACGTACAAGTTAGTCGACGAGATTAATTTGAAACGATAGATTAAAGCTCACCGGCAAGCAACATGGCACGTGGGAAGCTAAACTTGTTATCAAAGTTATTCCTCAACATTTTGCACTGAACAATTTTGTTTGTGAAAAAAAAAAGAGGCAAAAGGGTATATTCTCATTTCACATTTGTTTCCACAATCTACTTTTAAATTATTATAGAGTTGTCTTTTTTTTTTCTTAAAATAGAAATGATCAGTTCATAATGTAACGAAATCCTGCATTTTATAAGAATCTTAAGATCATTCCCACAAGTAATGAATAATAGTTACTTTAATCGTGGGTACTAAAATTTTAACTTCTGCTTATCAGCTTTGTGGAATAGTGGTTAGTGGAATCGAAATTGCGTTTAAAGCAGTTCTACTAGTTGGGCCATACTTTGGCATTATTGGGCTCACGAATAATGGGCTTAAGGCCTCATTAGAAAAAGGCGACGCCATTGAATGAGTCTACGGTGAAGAGAAAGGAGCTGACGTTGGCGCCGTCGTATAGTGGCGGAGGCGCGATGAAGCTCGGAGTTTTTGTGTACAGATTATACAGAGTGTTAACCTACGGTGTCTCCCCGTTAATTAACCTACACATACGGTGGCGCAGACTCCGGGGACTAGAGCCTTGCCGCCGTTGGCCAGAGCGGTTCGGTCATCCCTCCGCCGTAAGACCGCCGGGTTCACTCGTCTGGTTTCACGCCGTCTCTTTAGGTTACATAACCTCCATGATCTTCAAATAAGGTTTTTTTTTGGTTTGGTTTGTTTGTTTATTTTTGAGTGTCTCTCAGGTGAAGGAATGGCTGCTATTCCGGTGATCAGACACTGCAATGAAAGGAGGCCAGATTTGACTATCCTTATGACGACGACGACAGTATCTGCTTTGTATGATGACACATTGAAGAAAATTAAATTGAAAGTATTTAAAGTTTTTGTCTTTTGTAATTTGGTTTCTTTCAATCTTTTGGTTGCAGTGAAGTAATAAAGGATCAACTTCCTGTTGGTGTATTACATCAGGTATGTTTTGATTTGGATAATGATATTATTATCTGTGAAGTTTTATAAATGTGCTAAAGTTTCAAAATTTGGCTAGTTTGCACCACTGGATACACCGGTGGCTATCGACAGATTCCTTGGCCATTGGAAACCGAATGCGATTATCATAATGGAGAATGAACTCTGGCCTAATCTCATCATGGCTGCTTCAGGACTTCTAGTAATTTTTTGACCCTTCTTGTTGTTTATATTGATCTATCACTTGTGCAAAGATAATAAAACTCTTTGAATTGCGTTTCTGTGAATCATTTTTTTTTAGATTCCGTTGGCAATGTTGAACGCTCGGATGTCTACTAAATCCTTTAAACGGTGGTCTAGTCCGCTCTTACTACCGCTGGTATCGTTGTTGCTATCCAAATTCTCATTGATAGCACCTCTGGTATGTAAGCTAACTTCAGCGAGTCTTTTTTTATCTTATCTGGTTGTATTAACTGTTTGTGCCTCAAATGCGACAGAGCACCCTGCAGGGTATACATTTCCAGCTGCTGCATGCGCCACCCTTTGTCATAAATTATTCTGGTGACTTAAAATACGGTATAGTAGTCCTCTTATGCCTTCAAGATATTCATATCTTGGATATTATGTGCAGCCCATTATGTTCTCCTTCTTAGTTTCGTTTTGTTTTTTCAGTTACTGAATTGCTCATTCTGTTAAGGCGATATAAAGATCCATGTGTTGTCTGCTTTTTTCTTCCAGTGGTAAACAAGTTCAATGCATCTAGTGGAACATCTGAAAGTATAAGAGATCTAAAAGTAGAACTCTCAGAAATGAAAGTCTGGATTGCATCTTCTTTACATAGAGGCGAAGAAGAAGGTACTGTTTGTCCTAACTAAATATGGTTGTGACTCTGTTTTCTTTCATATCCTCTCTTAAGCAAGTGACTTGTAAGGAAGTAAGAGTTTGGAGCTGATTGACTTTTTATTTGGTATGCTTCTTCTGTTGTTCTATGCATTGCTTAAAACTGATGATCAAGTGTTGTGTGCAGTCATTTTAGGAGTTCACAACATGCTTCTCGAATCACATCCGGACTCTGTTGTCATAATTGTGCCTCGACATCCACATCATGGCCAACAGATTGCTCATGTATGGTATACCACACCTTCTGCTTATTTCATTTTATTGGCTTATTGAAGGTTGATCGTTTTGGTGAAATCGCATTTCATTGTCCTCAACTCCTTTTGTAGAAACTGCGGAAAGATGGCCAAAGTGTTGCTCTAAGGTCTCAAAACGAAAAGCTTACATCAAGGAAGACGAATATATATGTGGTGGATACACTAGGTTTGGGTTTCGCTATTTTAAGTTTATCTTCTTAATGCTAGTCCCTTTCTTCAAGAACCCAATCTATGTCTTCTTGTTTTCTTCAGGTGAACTAAGAGAATTGTACAGTGTAGCTCCAATAGCCGTCATTGGAGGCTCTTTCATCCCAGGATTAACTGGTCACAACTTGTCTGAAGCAGCTGCTGCTGGCTGTGCCGTTATTACAGGTTCTCTCAATGATAAGATGAGATGCTTGTATAGTATGCCTCTTTCTCTCTTTTATCTCAACCATCATGTAATCTTTTTTTAGGTTGTCATGTTGGGCATTTCTCTCACATGGTGAAGGCGATGCAGCAGTCGAATCCCTTATCGGTGACACAGGTCTCGACAAAACTAGAGCTCAAAGAAGCTGTAGACTTGCTCCTGAGTAACCCTGAGATCTTGGAAACACAGCAGAGAGCTTCTAAAGAAGTTTATGAATCTCTATCAAGCTGCATTATCACTAACATCTGGAATCTTCTCAATCTTCATATCTTTAGAGGGAAATGATATGTTAGTGTGGCTAGTTATTTATCCAAATAAATCCAGTTTCAGTTAATTGTTGTGCTATACACAATGCAGTTCATAAATAAAAATTTGTATAATGCCAAATGGAGAAATAAATCAAGCACCATATAACACCGTAGTGGGTAGACTCGATACAACGTACAAACTGTAGAGGGGCCTATTGAGCTATTCTCTCAAACTTCATCCTGCTTAATTGTTCGATTTTCGGTTCAAAATTGGTTTGGTTCGAAACATTGCCTCCAAGGCTACAAGCCTACAAGTTTGTAAAAATGTGTTTACTAATTACTACCGTTCCTATACGTTTGGAGGCCACAAACAATTTTTACACAAATAAACATGGTAAGTCTTCTTGAAATTCAAACAAAAAATTTAAAATCCATTGCAATTTAAATCAAACATTAATACAATTAAATTAATAAATTCATAATTTTTAATATAAAATGTAGTGGAACGATTTTTTGAAAAAGATTTGATATACTAAAAAAAAATTAATGCTTTATATTTTTACTACACATAAAAATCAAAATGTTGAAAGTGTTGAGCAAGCAGTTTCATCAAATCATCATTAAAAGCGAACAAAATTTTATGTTTTGTTTATAACTTTTAATTTATTCAATTTACCAACAAAGCACCCGTGGCCTAATGGATAAGGCGTTTGACTTCTAATCAAACGATTGTGGGTTCGAGTCCCACCGGGTGTGTCCTTTTTCCTTTTTTGTTTTTGTTTTTCTTTTCTGTTTGGATCCGTTTTTTTTCAGATTTTTGTTTTTCTTAAAACACCTACACGTCCGAACTTTTCGAACCATATACACTGAAAATCTAAAGATGCACAAAATAGTAGAAGCCAGTTCTTGTAAAGGAGGAATTTTTGTCTATTATACAGCTCAACTCCCACATTACTTCACCAAGTATGGCTTCATCTCCAAAATGAGTCACACTAACTATTGATTACATAGCAGTAAGGATTTAGTGTGCTGCCTTGTTCGTTTTTGGTCCTACTCTTGCGCCGAGCATGTTTCTCCATTTGTCCTTGAGATCAGCTGGTGTACGTGTTTCGTGGAACACCTTCTCTCCCATTTCCAGAATTTTCCTCCATGGCATGTTCTTCTTTGCATCTGCTGCAAACTTCTCCACCCCCACCTGAACCAACCAGCACATATATCAACAAAAATTCTTATCCAATTCATGAAGAAAGTACAGCTATACCTTTAGCATCTCTTCTTCTTTGTACGTCCAAAGTAGCCTCCTTCTCTGATCCTTCATAAAGAAAGAAATGTCCCTGCAAATCCATGAGGTAACTTTCTAAATTTAATGTGGAAATGAACTCTTGATGTTCCAGTGAATGAAGAAAAAGTAACAACCTCACTGTCTTTGACTTAGCCGCAACATTGGTTGTTGCCTGCTGGTTCTTCATTTTCCCTGACGGGGAGGTTACTTGAGCCGATGAAGTTATCTGCTCAGTTACATCTTCTCCATTTCTTTCATTACTTGAACCCTTTGATGAGATTTCACTATCAATAGTGTTCAGTTCTATCCGTCTTCTTCTTCTTCGCACCTCACTCTGTTGGACATGGTCGTGTTCTTTTGCTGAAAACGATTCTTGCATAGACAAAAACGAAGAAACATCTCCCTTTTTCCCTGCACCTGTATTCAGGATTCTTGTACTTTGATCTTTAGCTGTTTCATCATCCTTGTCATCATCTTCAGCGTCTTGAAAGTTTTCTGTAGCTACCCTCTCTTCGTCCTCTGATGCTCCAACTTCGTCGATCACTTTATCAGTACCAACTTTCCCTTTATCCTCTCCTGGTTGATCAATTTCCTCAATTAATAGCATGTTCTCACCTCTTGAATTATCACCTTTGTTTGTACTCTGCTCTTGGTTTCCAATTGCATCACCAGACAAGGTAGTATCCCCATTCCTGCTTTTCATCTCTTTATCTAGATACTTGAAGACCGCCTTCTCTGCCTCAACAGTCTTTTCTCTCAATGTTTTGGATTTCAGAGCAACTATCTTGAGCCAGCAATAAGGACAAAATGGATTTGCAACATCCTCGCTACTACTACTACCCAACTCAGCATACAAACACTCCCCGTGAAACGAAAGAAGACAGTCAACCCCGCAACAACGGGATACCCGCTCGTCTGAAACTTCACATACAATACAAGCATCTAAGTCCAGCAGCGGCTCTACCGATCCTCCTCTATCAGTAGTCACACTGGTCCCAAGACAATGACGCTTCTTATGTGGCACATCTCTTTCATCAAAAGTATCAGGAACAATCTCAACATCCGTATCATATTGTGTGTTGCTGATCACTCCAGAGCAAAAGTTTTCATTAGCTTCATCATCCTGTGAGAGGAAATAATGAAAATTACTCACAAATACATCAACCTAACAGTTTCTAATTCGCGAGTTCCAAATTCAAAATTCAACCTCCACAATCACACAAATACAATCCAAAACTAGCTTTGATTATAACATACGAGTCAAAATCAAAACCAAAATCAGGAAATTATAAGCTCTAATTTTCCGATAATCAAACAGAGACGACGGGAAGAAATAGGGTTACCGGAAGCGGAGCGAGGGATGGATTAGAAGGATCGAGAGATTTGCGCGAAGACCTAACCAGAATCGATTTGGTTCTCATCTTCATCTTCTACAGTTTCTCTCAATCATCAGTCTCGAGTTCAACAATGGGGACGTTATGAACAGTGAAGAGTGTCTTCTCAATTTGAAGCGAGAAGCGTACTGAGGAAGATGGACGAATAAACCCAAAAAAAAAAAAAAAGAAGAGTTTTTATGTGATAAATTTAGCAAATATAGAAGTTAAGTCACCTTTTAATTAATTATATTTACACAGACAAACCATATTTTTATGTATATCAGAAAATCAAAAGTATATTTTAATTTTTTTTATTTGTGAATTTTTTAAATATTTATTAACAAAAATTACAATAGTGTAATCATTATATAAATCTTAATTAATCAAAATAAAAGTCTTACATTCTTAAATGATTATTTTTAGTTGGCTTTAATTCTTGAAATTTAATCACACATATTTTGACGCGTAAAACACACACATGTAGTATATATACTATGTTGGATGATATGCATCACATAAATACTATAATGAGATTAAAAATAACAAATATATATTTAATTGTTTAAATCATGAAACTAGTTAGATATAGGGAAAAAAACCAGAGTTTAGTTGATATAGTAAATCTGATCTACGTGATTTGTAAGAAGTGAAATTAAAAGATGTTGATATGTAGCTGTAATATTGTTTGTCCTTGTTTAGACTGAGGTTGGGTAAGACATTTATTTTTTGAGTTGTTTATGTATCTGTATCTAAATATATATTTAGACATAATAAATGGAACTTTTTACACAAATTATAAAATTTAAATATTTGATGTGTTATAATCTAATCAATCAGTTTATATTTATAATTTATATTTTATTTTATTTAAAATTCATATGGATTTTTTTTTCTTTTATATGTATCGTTCCAATTTATCAAATGCCCCGAAGGCTGCAAAGATTCATATAGTTATTCTACAAAATCTGTCAGCATACTAGTAAATACCTTCCTAACGTTCTTCATTACCATTTTAATTCCACAATTCTCCAACGAATAAACTAAATTTCGGTAACTAAATTTGTAAATATTGGTGACTTTGTTAGTAATAACTAATAAACTTGCAATGTATAAATGGGTTAGTCTTATGGAGCATGTGTTTACCTTTTTTGTTACTAAATATGTCTGGTGAAATTTCTACACACAATAAATTTGCATAGCAAAAAATTAAAATTTTGTACAATGTATGTTATAAATATGGTCTTAAATTAGTGTCTGACTTTAACGGCGGGATTTAATTACTAAGTATTTACAAATTGAAACTAATAGAGAGAAAGAGGCACTGTACCTTCACTGTTATATTCATCTTTAGCCTTCTTCAAAATATTATTTTGACCTTTTCAGTTCTAGCCTTATTTAATGATGGTGTAAGAAATCTTACTATCCCATTTATCTATGTGAGGGTCGTAATTAGTTTAATGTTCCTTCCGCTCTTTAATAAGTGATGTTTTAGAGCATGTGCAGTGCAGAGATACTTTGAAAGTCTCTCAAATATATTATTCTAATACATATGATTTAATTTAGTTATTTATTTTAATTTTAAATAATAATAAAAATTGAAAACCAATTATATGCTGACAAGTGTAAAAGTAGTCTCTCAAAGAGTTCTCAAATGTTCTCAGATGAGAATCGATTCTCGTTTCTCTCTCCCACTTTTTATTACTTTTTAATTTTTTATTGGTGAGAACCCATGTGAGAACTGTGCACTGCACATGCTCTTAAGCTTTTAATTTTGTTCTTAAATAGATAATGTTTTCAGTTTTCGATACAAAATTAATTACTTTTTAATTGGTTTTGACTATTTATATTCTTTAGATTGTTTTCTTATTGGTTGATTAGATAATAAATGATGCTTTAGTTTATAAATAAACAAAAATTAAATGATTTTTTAATCGATGTGCATTCTCTTTAAACATCACTTATAAAAGAACGGAGGGAGTACAACAAAACCCATTAAACAAAAAAAAAAAGTAAAAGTGTAATTCACATTAAGCAATTTTATAATAAATTCAATTGTTATATAAGTTCTTACTTCTTTTTTTGTCATCATAAAGTTTAGCTCCTCCAAGAAGGGGGGGACCTTTTTCTTGATTACCGATCTTAGTAACTGATGGATCTATATGTCTAACATATACTACTAGATGAAATTAATCATCTTTTTAATTTTTAGTTGTTTTTGTCGTACATATAAAATTTAAACTAATGAAAATTATTTGTGGAAAGTCTCGATTCTCAAAGAACAATAACAAATGAATTTAGTTGTTAGCTGTACTAGAATCTCCTCAATATTTGAATTTTTTAATTCTGTCTAGATCTCTCTCTCTTTTTTTCTAATGCATGCATGAGATTTCTGTTAAAAGTTTTTATTCGGATATTATATAATTTCGTTGACAGTATTAACATTAACAATACTCCTTTTTACTTATTATTATTCTTGTTATTGTTGTCAAAAGG